CATTCTGCAAGACCTCCTCAGAAATGACAAATACCTGATTTTGGATTTAATCACATTCAGACATTCACTCAGTCACTGACACTAGAGAAAAAAACATTTTATAACTTCCCATCTCTGTTTTCCTTTAATTATTAATGATATGGACGATTTGCACTTGTGTCCTAAACTAGCATCCGACTCCACAGATGAATAGCCAATGTATCAAGGCAATAAGTAAATTAACTGGGCCAAGGTCACAATCTCTCCACGTACAGCATACTCACATTTCAGACCTGGGAAAAGTAACATTGAAAAGTCTATTTACGAGGTCAGCAAGATGCTTTGAAGGTAATAACAAATACCCTTTTCGTTTTCCTCTCCGAAAAAGATCAATAAACTTGAAAATTCGAGACAAAACCAGATAAGCTACACCCAGGTTGTTCACAAGCTATTGATGACCAAATTGAGTAGGCTTAGCCGTACTCAAGTTACTTACAGGAGATCACATATTGTTCATTCAAATTGAGCATAGATCAAATAACAACATGGAATCAATGTCAGAAGAGATCAAACTACCACTTAATAGTCAACTGTTTCATCTCCATTTTTATACATTCATTCAAATAATGCTTCGTAGAAAAGAAAAAACAATTGCAGGAAAGAGTGATCCAGAATAAAACACACACACCAAAAAAAAAAGATCATTAAGTCGGACCCACAACCAATTTGAAAAGGATACATGATCAAGCATCTCAAATCGAGGCAACAACTACTAGATACCCCAACCAAAAAAAAGAGTCAACCTTTAGTGCATAGTCATGATCACCCCGCTACAATCAATAGTGAAATAGGGCACAAAGTCAAAAGCTTTATGAGTTTTTTTAACCAGAAAATGGGTAAAACCCAGATTCAGAACAAAGAAATAAAAGCTATAAAGTTTGCAGAAGCAATGAAAGAGCGAAGAATAGCAAAAACTAACAAGGCAAATCAGAAAATAAATCCCAAAAAGGGTGAAAGAAGAATACCTTTGGTTTGACGGATTGAAAGAGTAACAGGGGTGGTTGAATCATTGGAAGCCATGGAGTTAGGAGAAGCAGGAAAATAGGAGGATGGAGAGCAGCTGCGGTCAAGAAATGTAGAGGACTAGTAATAGACGATTGATGGGAAGGAGAAGAAGAGGAAAAAGATGATGTTGTAGGATGAGAAAGAAGGGAACAGTGTGACGTCGAGGACGGGACAGGAGGCAAAGTAGGGCGCCATGGAACACAAGTGAAAGCTATCCCTGGCGAGATTTCCGGCTTGGCCGGCCACGAATCTCCGCATTGCCAATGGTAATACCGTAATAGTAAAAGAGAGAGAAACCGGGTTTTCATTTTTGCATTGCCACGAATCTCCGGTCCCTGCTCGGCCTTTGTTCACTTTCAAGTAAAACCGGGTTTTTCATTTTTGCATTTTGCTGACTTTTTATTTGGGACTCTTGACTTTGTCTTAACTTTTGTTTGACCGACCAGCCCTAATTCCTTATTCTTCACCTCATCCCCAGCCGTCACCACCGCAATTCCTACCCCACTTCCCTTCCTCCCCACCTAATTTGCCTCCTCCGCTCATCGGAGACATGACCGTAGCCTTGTCTCCCTCAATACCGACGCCGGCGACTTCATGTTGCTAAGGTGGGTTTCTTTCTCTTCATTTGTCCTTTTTTTTTTCGTTTTTATTCCTTTGTTGCAAGTATAAAATTGTAATTGGCATCTGCTTTGCTCTTGGGGGATTGACTCTGAAAGGGACGACAAATTGATGCTTATTGTGCGTTCTTTAAAGCTTTTTCGTTTGATAAAAAACTTTGATGTGTGGACTGATCCCACTGTAACATAGGCCTAGTGTTTGAAGGATGGTACCAGTGGTAGTTTAAAAAGTGCATTAATATGAGAACCAGGATAGTAAGAATTGATTCTACTATTTGGGAATCAAGTTTTGTATCAGTGTTTTTTTTCATTTTTGGCACTTGCATTTTAGATTAAGCTTCGCACGTAAGAACTGGCCAGAGATCATATTCTGCAATAATTTGTTAGATATGGATTCTAAGAAAAAGAACTAAGATGTATATATTGGGCCTAGAAAATTTTTTAATAACTCGACATATAGAAACCTAATATGTCAATACCTGAATAAATACTATGACATGTTTTCAACTAAACAAAACTTATTATACTTCAACTTGTTCTTTTTTGGTTCTTTCAGATGATGTTGCTCGGTCAAAGTTTTAGATTGAAACAAGTTATTACAGTATTTCAACTTGAGGGAGTTGATGAATATACATAATGGCAGTGGTATTGCCTGTGGAACATTGGAACTGAATTAAAGAGGTAATTTTCAATTTTTTTTTCATTGTCTTAAGATTTTAAGATGTAATATTAGATTTGTATTTAGTTTGGATGGATTTGGAAGTTGTTCTTCTTCATTTGTGAAGTTAGTGGTTTGATTGTATGTGTTTGAGTTTTCAAAGTTGGTATTACTTTGTGGGTATGATACGTAGGAAATGGGTAGGAAAAAGGAAGCCACCAAAGTGTATGTACTTTTTGTGGTGTTCAAGGTTATATATATTTATGACATCATGATGACAATACATAGTTCTTAGACCTGTCCAACCCCGATCGAACTCTTTGACTCCTGACCTCTTGAGTTCGGCCGAGTCATTACTTGGTCTGAGTTTCAAAACATAGCTTTTCAGAGTACAATTGAAACCCCAATCAGCGAATACAATCCCAGTCCTGATGCCAAAGTCCAAACCCTTTCCTTTGAATTTCCGTTGCTCCAAATGACTTCGTCTGTCCACACCTACTGCTGTTTTGATTACTGATTGCTCTCTCCATTCTTCATTTCTTTTGCAGATTTTTAGGTGATTTCTTTTATATTAAGGTTTTTGCTTTTAGCATGGCCTCTGTTGAGAACAGCCAGAACCTTGAACCTGACGATGACGAGGTTAACAATGATGCACACGATCTATTGCTCGGTGACCCACACCATTATACTATCACAGCCGTTGGGCCTGCTTTCGAACAGTCTCCTAGGGTGGCGGCGGCAGTGGACCCAACCCCATCTCCACCTCCACCACCGCCTCCTTTTCTGCAGTCCTCTGATATCGTTCCAATGCTCAAGGAAGAGCCTGCAGATAACGACGTTGAGGGCTCAATCCCAGTCGGCCTCACCCCCATTCATCACCTTGATAAGCCCATGCTGCTGGCGCCTCCCAAGAGGTCCTCCAAGGACCGACACACCAAGGTGGAGGGGCGCGGCAGGAGAATCCGCATGCCTGCCACTTGTGCTGCCAGAATCTTCCAATTGACACGGGAGCTGGGCCACAAGTCCGACGGTGAGACTATCCGGTGGCTACTGGAGCGAGCGGAGCCAGCAATCATTGAAGCCACCGGTACCGGCACTGTTCCGGCCATTGCCGTCTCAGTTAACGGGGCATTGAAAATTCCGACCACATCGAGCACCAGTATGACGGCCGCTGAGGGTGACGGGGCTAGGAAACGAAGAAAGAGAGCCTCCACGAGCGAGTTTTATGAGGTGAACGATAATTCCAGTTTTGCACCTGTCGCACCCATTACCCCACAAGGCCTGGTGCCGGTTTGGACGGTGGGAGCACACGGGGCCCCTGGGATGGTTCCCACAAGTGTGGTTCCAAGCGGTGCGTTTTTTATGATCCCTCCTACTGGCGCCACCATTGCTGCTGCTGCTGCAGCTGCAGGTGCTGTTCCTCCCAGGCCTTCTAATCAGCCTCAGTTGTGGGCCATACCTGCGGCAGCAGCTACGCCGGTTTTTGGCGTTTCAGGCAGGCCCATTTCTAATTTTGTGTCCGCAATGGAGCCTGGGCCTTCGGTTAATTTTGCTACTGATGGTGGTGGGGGTGATGAGGGTGAGGGTCGTATGGGGTCTGCATTGCCCAATATTGTTGGGAGCGGAGACAAGAATTTTTCAGGGAAGATTTCCGCAATGGCTCCATTTGCCAGTAGTACTAGTAGTAGGGATGGTGCAGCAACTGTTGGAACAAGGGCGACTGGGAGTCCTACTGGTGCTACTTCAGCTCAAGTGTTGAGGGACTTTTCACTGGAGGTTTACGATAAGAGGGAACTTCAGTTTATGGTTGGTGCTGCTGCTGGGGCGGGGAATGACCAAACTCCATCTTCGAAATCCTGATAGAAGATAAAAATAGATGGGTGGACTGACAAAATGGTTAGGGCTTTAGGAGGTTAGCATTTTTTTTTTCTAATAGTCCTAGAGCAGACAACACAATCCTTCGTTTTTAGATTCTGCTAGTTTTTTTTTTTTTTTTTTTTGGGTTCTTTTTTTCCCCTTTTTATCTAGTAGTGAGTATTCTTTTAGTTTCCCCAGTGGAGGCTGTCTGTTTTGCTAATCTCTTAGCTGGGTAGAAACTTATAGGGATCATTTCTAAGGATGAACTTGTTTTGCTGATCTTATATAGTAGTAACTCCTCTCGTTCTTCCCCCTTCCGTCTGCAGTTTCCGCCTAGCATGAAAATAGAATGGCATGCACAAAAATTGTGGAAAATAAATAGGACTGGAATCAATAAAATACTGGTTCAATGGAAAACTTGCTACTGAGCGTAGTCGGTAAATTGTTGGGGCCGCGGGTCTACAACTCAAAGAAGCATCCCCTCGCAATCATTTGAGTACTGTTAAAGAGTAACAATAATAATAATGTGTCTAAATTGATGAAGGTAATCAATCTCTACTGGCGGCGATGGTATCGCGGTGGTGGTTTCTGCCTTTCTGGTGGAGGATTGTTAGAAAAACTTTCCGGCCTCGCCTCGTGGTGTGGTCAAATTTATTTAATGAAGAGGTGCACGTGAGATTGGGAAGTTGCACGTGCATCGTGGGTCCCCCGTATTATTTTGTTATTTATCGGTCGGCTTAGCTAAGTGATGATGGTATGTTTATCGGACAAATCGGTTTGACAATTCCATTCCATAAAATTTGGTCAGACAAAATTACCAGCAGCAGCCGCACAAGAAAAGGAGCTTTCAATTCCGGGGATTGGGCAACAAGTCAAGAGCGAGGGAGCGAAAGCGAAAGACGTCATCTCTCTCTCTCTCACACAAAAACACACAACAGTCATAAGCTTCAAATTCCATAAATTTGGTCAGAGACAAAACCAAATTTACCAGCAGTTCAGCTCAGCGGCACATTGCTTCTTTTTTTTTTTTAATTTTTTTTCTCTTTTATTTTCTTTGGCAATGCGGAGATTCGTAGCCGACAAAACCAGAAATCTCATCAGGAGAGCTTCCACTTGGTCCCCTACTTGCCCCGTATCCCCCCGTCCTCATCACCCTCCTTCCCTTCTTTCTCAACCTACATCACCACCTTTTTCCTCCTCTTCTCCTTCCCATCCATCGTCTATTACTAGTCCCCTGCGTTTCTTGACCGCCGCTGCTCTCCATCCCCTCTCTTTCCCTGCTTCTCCTAACTCCATGGCTTCCAATTATTCAACCACCCCTGTTACTCTTCAATCCGTCAATCCAAAGGTATCCTTCTTTCACCTCCACCCCCCCTCCCTTTTTTGGCATTTATTTTCTGATTTCCCTTGTTACTTTTTTGCTATTCTTCGCTATTTCATTGCTTCTGCAAACTGTATAGTACTACCTTTTATTTCTGTGTTCTGAATCTGTTTTACCCATTTCTCGTTTAAAATAACTCGTCACACTTTTGGCTTTCGACTTTCGTTGGAATTTGTATTTCGGGCCTCGTTTTGAGATGCTTGATCATGTATCCTTTTCAAATTGGCTGTGGGCCCGACTTAATGCTTTTTGTGTGTTTTATTCTGGATCACTTTTTCCGGCAATTGTACTTTGAATGAATGTATAAAAACGGAGATGAAATAGTGGACTATTAAGTGGTAGTTTGATCTCTCCTGACTCTCAATCCATGTGCTTATTTGATCTGTGCTCACTTTGTATTAACAATACGTTATCTCCTGTAAGTGACTTGGGTACGGCTAAGCCCACTCCATTTGGTCATCAATAGCTTGTGAGCAACCTGGGTTTAGCTTATCTGGTTTTGTCTTGGATTTACAAGTTTATTGATCTTTTGGAGAGGAAGACGAAAAGGTTATTTGTTATTACCTTTAGAGCATCTTGCTGATCTCGTAACTAGACTTTCAATGTTAATTTTCCCAGGTCTTGAAATGCGAGTATGCTGTACGTGGAGAGATTGTGACCTTGGCCCAGGTAATTTACTTAATGCCTTAATACGTTGGCTATTCATCTGTGGAGTCGGATCCTAGTTTAGGATACAAGTGAAAACCGTCCATATCATTACCAATCGAAGGAAAACAGAGATGGGAAGTTATAAAATGTTGTTTCCTCCAGTGTCAATGACTGAATGAATGCTCTGAATTTGATTAACTCCCAAATCTGATACTTGTCATTTCTGAGGAGGCCTTACAGAATGCTTAATTTTGCAGAAGTTGGAGCAGGATTTAAAGCAGAATCCTGATTCTCATCCTTTTGATGAGGTACAGAATTTTCCTCTCTTCAAAGCCAACTTAGGAATGTGTGCTGGCAAGCCTTTTGATCATCTACACCACCTTTTATAATGATTCATTACCAAATAGAGATAAGCTTTACCATGTTAAAGATTCAAAATTGCATTTTCTTTGCACATGGCTAATAAGCGAGTCTTTCTTGAAGTTCTTTTGGTTTTTGCTGGTGGTGTCTGCATCTTAACAAGAAAATGATTAATTAATACCAGAATAAATTTTTGTAATTATGATTGCTTGTCCATTAAAAATTTGGCAGATAATTTACTGCAACATCGGGAATCCTCAATCTTTGGGCCAGCAACCTATCACTTTTTTCAGGGAGGTATGATGTATCTTCTTGTACAGATCATGGTAACATTTTTTTTCAGCATTTGTAGTGATCATCATCTCTATATTAGGTACTTGCTTTATGTGACCATCCAGCCATTTTGGACAGAAGTGAGACACAAGGTTTATTCAGGTAAGGAAAGGGTGTACGATCTTAAGCTTTTATGAGAATTGGAATGTTTAGCTTTCTTGTATCCAGACAAGCTCAAACATAATAATTTTTTTTTAGCAATAATTCATATTTGCCTCTTTCATTGCTTCTGCAGTGCTGATGCTATAGAGCGAGCCTTCCAGATCTTGGATCAAATTCCTGGAAGAGCAACCGGTGCATATAGTCATAGTCAGGTAAAAACATTCATCTTGAGTTTACATTAAGTTGAACCTGTATTGTAACTAATTTCAGATGTAGCATTCCCCTTAAACCAGGGCATTAAAGGGTTACGTGAGACCATTGCTGCTGGGATTGCAGAGCGTGATGGATTTCCTGCTGACCCAAATGATATCTTTCTGACAGATGGTGCGAGCCCTGCTGTGAGTACTGACATACTTTTCTTCATCATTTTCTGGATATTTCATATTCTAGTTTTTCTCACTCCCTACCTTCTCCTATTCTTTTAGGTTCATATGATGATGCAGTTACTGATAAGGTCGGAGAAGGATGGAATTCTTTGTCCTATTCCCCAGTACCCTCTTTATTCTGCTTCAATTGCCCTCCATGGTGGTACTCTTGTATGTTCTATTTCCATATTACAAGAAATTCTTCAATCCAATTAAGTTGTGATTAGATGTAATGGTATTTACTGAGAGGTTGCAGGCTTTATAAATAAGTACACTTCTGGGAGTGCAACTGGGCAGTTCCTCAACACTATATTCAAGAACCGTTAGTCGAATGTTGATTACCATCAACATGGGTTCTGATGCAAAATTCTTAATTAATTCCAGGTTCCTTATTATCTTGATGAAGCAACTGGATGGGGACTGGAAATCTCTGAGCTTAAGAAACAGTTGGAAACTGCCAAGTCCAACGGTGTTTGCGTTAGGGCTTTAGTTGTGATAAATCCTGGCAATCCAACAGGGCAGGTGAGCACTGACATGATATTTGCACCTCATGGTGCAAGAAATAGTTTTCCATTTTTGTTATTGGATATTGGAATTTAGTTTTTCTGTTTTTCCTTGTTCAGTTGCTTAAAAATTGGTTTAAGATATGAATTCATTGGTCCAATTTTGTGCATTTTGTGTAAAGGTTCTTGCTGAGGACAACCAGCGTGAAATTGTGGAGTTCTGCAAGAATGAAGGACTTGTTCTTCTGGCGGATGAGGTGACTAGAATGCTAAACTTGTCTACTATTAGATTTGTTGGGTGCTCAAGTTTCTGTGTAGGATATGATAAATTTTCTGGAGCTCTGTTGAAGTATGGTTCTTTGAATATTATCTTAACAGAATATAGAATGCTGGACCTTTGTGCTGTTGAATCTCTCACTCTATCAAGCTTATTACCACAGTTCCTCATTAACGTATCCAAAATCTACAGGTATACCAGGAAAACATTTACGTTCCTGACAAGCAGTTTCACTCATTTAAGAAAGTTTGCCGGTCTATGGGGTATGGTGAGAAAAATATCTCCTTGGTATCTTTTCAGTCTGTTTCTAAAGGTAAACTTTCCTATCTACCACTTAATTATGTGCTCTATGCCTTTATAATGGTTTCAAATGGTTTTTTGGCAATATTTATTGTTTGACAGCTTTTCTTTTTTCTCCTTCCCTGTCTCTCTCTCTTTAATGTGCAATACATTCAGGGTACTATGGAGAGTGCGGAAAGAGAGGAGGTTACATGGAAGTCACTGGTTTTAGTCCTGAGATAAGGGAACAGATATACAAAGTGGCTTCTGTGAATCTTTGTTCTAACATCTCTGGGCAGATTCTAGCCAGCCTTGTGATGAACCCTCCAAAGGTCAATAGCATTCTTTTAGTTGTGTTACTTTTCTTTTTCTTGACCTTAAATTCAGTGTAATACTGTAAGCTTTAATGCTAGGACTTGGATGAATTTAACTGAATATCAGATTCTCTGGACAGAACAATCACAACTGAGATAGAGCACTTTAATTAAACAATATAGATCCCCTAGATAGATGAGACTTCGATAGAGTAACACTATAAGTTTCTCCTCTAATTCAAGTTTCATAAGCCTGAACTGGCATGTTACAAATTAATCAAAATTTCATTTCTTCTGTTAATAGCTTTAAACGTAATCCTTCAGCAATTTTTATCGCACACTAGAGACTGTTATACTGCTCTGTATCTGTAGTGATGTGATGTCATTGGACATAAATAGCATGGGAGAATTGAATTCCTATTTAATAGAATTGATTGTGTTTTCTGTAATCATGCTCCATTTGGCAAAAGCTGTGAAGGAAATTTTGTTGATATTGCAGGTGGGAGATGAATCATACGAGTCCTATACAGGAGAGAAGGATGGAATACTCTCATCCTTAGCAAAGCGTGCAAAGGTTAGTTGGAATCAACAAGTTCTCATCCAATGATTTGAAGGACATAAAGATGGAAGGCATCACATAGATAACTTTAGATGATGTTGTGTTGTCAATTCCAGAAAGGGATAGGGATGGAGCTTCCTCAAATGTTTCCCGTAGTGATGCAAAATGGCATAACTCAATGAGTTTTTTCTTCAGTTTTGTTAGAAGAAATATTATCAAATCATTAATTATCTTGATTCATACCATATTATTGAGCTTCTTTCTTCTTTTTATCCAACATCAGACTCTTGAAGATGCATTGAACAGTTTAGAAGGCGTCACATGCAACAGAGCTGAAGGAGCAATGTATCTTTTCCCCTGTATAGACCTGCCACATAAAGCAATAAAAGCAGCAGAAGCAGCAAAAAGAGCCCCGGATGCTTTTTATGCTCATCGCCTCCTTGATGCAACAGGAGTTGTCGTCGTTCCTGGGTCTGGTTTTGGTCAGGTAAGCTGTTGATGAGATGAATTAAGTAGCTGCACTTTGTGGGTTGCATATGAATGTTTTGGGGTTCATTCTCAACTTTTGAGCTGCAATTTTCACATGGCCTGGGTATTTAAAAATTTTAAGCATTTGCTGTCAAGCTCTGCTAGGATGAAAGTCAAGTTAATGTAGTAAAATAATATGGTGCTCCTTGACACTCGACTAGCTCGAGTTTCATGGATGCGTTGGCTTTAGCTCACAATGCGTACCTGAGTTGCTCAAACTTTAGCTGCTAAGCACCATGCTTGTGAGAACATATGCACATGCAGACACTTGAATTGAAAAACGGATGACGGAAATTGCATTTTAATGCTTATGTAGTTAATTCCTTGATAGGTTAAAGGCCAATGTAGTTTCTTAGAACTGTACCACGAGGTACCTGTTTGGTAGTAATTGACTTTGTTGTATTAATGACTGATTTTGATTTACTAAATATGACTGATTTTTGGGAAATTTGGATTACCTATAGTCCATTTGATTCCTTAGCAATGAGTTGCCGCAGCAAAACTACGGAGATTTCTTAATTAATCTTTTGTGTGCGGATACTACTGTATTCTGAGTCTCTTGAAGTCCTTTGAACGCGTGATCAAGAAAAGCTTTGTTACCATTTGATTTATGTTCATGATGCATTTATCGTGGAAACTACTTCCCATTTCTACTTGCTTATTACTATTTCTTTTTCTTTACTATTTTGAGTTGCTTGTCCTTGTATGGTTCTAATTTCTGTATTGTTGTTTCAAAGGTACCTGGGACTTGGCATTTTAGGTGTACCATATTACCTCAAGAAGATAGGATACCAGCTATAGTCTCTCGTCTCACAGAATTCCATAAAAAATTCATGGATGAATTTCGTGATTGAGGAACCATTCAGCGCATTTCATCTCATCTCTGCAAGCAAATCTCAAATGAGGTGAAGCTTGTAAAGTCATCATTGTGAATGTTACAATCGCTCTCCTCAATCTTTTTCAAGGGGATATTGTACGTTTCCCAAACTATAGAGGGCATTTTTGCCAGGCGGTGTTTTTCTTTCTCTGAACAATTTATTCAGTGTCGAATGTTTCGTTTACGTACAAGAGGTTTTTCATAAACTGTTACTGCTTTGCTTTGGAAACTCGTGAAGCTCAACGTTGTAATTTCAGGTTCAGAAGATGTAATGTCTAATAGAACCGTATCAAGTGATATTCTAATCGAACTCTTTGATCATGCTGGTTTTCTTTATCCACACAATTTAACAGCTTTAGATGTGGCAGGAAGCTTGAACGGCCCACCGGTTCCGACTCGCGATAACAGAAGCGAAGGTCGTGCCATCCATCTTGTATCTTGGCTGATTTGATTCAACATTGTACTAGCAGATGACTGATATAAGAGTCCAGATCAAGGCTACTTTGTTAGTTCAAGAAGAAAAGAAGAAACTTTAACGAAAGGTTGTCACGTTTCAAAAAACAAAAGTGCGAGCTTGTGACACGTAAAATCCTCCCATTACCCTTCATTTCTCAGCCTGAAAACTCAGAGACGAGTGATGTACAAATCCTCTCCCTCCAAATTCTTTATTTACACCCTTTTATTTCAACCCAAATGCGCCGTAACGGTTAAAACAAGCTCCCTGAGTATTAGCATATGATACAAGAGAAAATATTCTTTCACTACATTTTCTGTCTATTCTAAAAATAAAATGTCATGCAAAATCATAGTAATAATAATAATAATAAAGCCCCACAACGAGCGTACCAATGTTTTTGTATAGAAACCATGAAAACCAAAGAGGACATGTACGAATATAGTAACCAGGAATTCCAAGAGATACAAATCATGGAAATGGTTTGGGCCATTAGACTGACTGGTAAGGCATAACACACTCAAGCAGCAGTTTCTGATTGAGGCCACGTTAGAGAGGACCATTAGAAAAAAAATACTAATCCAATAACATCATCACATGTGAAATGCAAGCACTAAAGAACTGCAAAACAACCAAGAAACTGCTTGAAGTGGCTCCCTTCTCATAGGCGGGTAATGACAGCCTCAACCTCAGCTGGGGTGTAGAGATGGTAGGTTGGTGCAACCTTTGCAATGTCAACATTATTAGGGGTCACCTGACATCATAAAGCCCCAACTGATTGCAAGTTTTGGAAAAGTGCAACAGAAAGTATGGCATGACTTGCAGAAGAATCATCAAGAGTTTTACCTTTTCTTCCATAACTTGCTTGAGTATGGAAAGCGCAATAGTTTCAGCTTCTTGGAGAGTCAGGTCCTGCATGGAGAGCCAAAAGTAAGGCAAACAACCCATCTTTCCTTTTCAATGCGCTCTATTTTGGCATGAAAATACTTTGTTGTGCTTCTTATTGAAGCCAAAACTGAATTGACAGCTTTTCACGGTAAGCATAAGTGGACAGACACAACCACACACAAAAATAACACACAGCTGAGCACAGTGTAGGAGGCCCTCAACAACTACCTTCACGGAAAAAAAATGGAAAACAGCAAAAAGCAACTGTAATAAAATCATGAGAAACTAAACTGGTTTAAAGAAAATATATGTACCTTGTTATATTGCTCTTGCAAGGAGCTGTCAGCACCTTCAGAACCAGAACCAATAGCCTTTGCATTGCACTGCCAGAAGGTGCCCGATGGATCTGTGTAATACCTATAAACATACCTTTGGTTAATTTCAACCATTACGAAAACAACAGAACACAGGTTTTATGAAAGGGATAAATTTCTTTCCCTCGTGATGGCAGCTGGTTGAAAAAAAGATTAAAAGACCTCCACCAGAAAAGCAAAGCAACTGCTGTTCCTTTGTCTGCGTGTGTGTGTGTGTGAGAGAGAGAGAGTGTGTGTGTGTGTGTGTGCACGTGCATGCGTGCATGAGTCACAGCATCAAGGATTAGTGAAGGTCAAAAAAAGATCAGCTCAACAGCTTGGCTCAAAAATTATAGGCGACACAAAAAACAAATCTAACAGGAACTAAGATAACAAGAGGAGAAACTAAACATCTGCTTGTGAAGATAGCTCAATAAATATCTGCACAAGCAGCAGACAAATGGCACAGTAGAACTAATGGCATCGGCTCTGCAGATTTTACAATTCAGAAAAATTCTTAAGCTCCACTAGCAGAACAAAACTAGGATAAGTACTAAGGGGCAAAATATAAAAACAAAAGAGTATGCAGGATAACTGATCCATGTCTGATCATAGTTAAAAGAGAACGAAGCCCAAGATCAACTAGGAAGCTCACTTAGAGCCAACAACATTTATCCCTGAATAGATAATTAACTTAGATATCTTCCTCGCTGATGTAAGTTCTAATCAAAATAAAACAAGGTCTAGCAACACTAAATTACTTACTACAACTATATGAACTGAAGTTCATCTCAAGCAAATAGCAACCAGTTCTACATAAATAAAAGTAACTATAAGTCACGATGTTCCAAAAGGTCCAGTCAATAAGAGAAAGTAACCAAGTGAAGACACCATGAGGCATATACTTTGACAAATCAGCTCTATATGGAAAGCATAAATTTGGCAGAGATCAAATTGCAAGCAGATGCCCTAAACCCCAGAGAATACTAGTAATTGACCAGAAGAGACTGAATGAGAAACAGAGACTGTCAGGACATAAGCAACAAAAATACTCTAAAATAGGCTAGATCTGTCCACCCATTTTGTGGAAGTAAACGAAATCAAATATGAAGCAACTATTTTTTTTTTTTTGTTAGTAAGAAATAACAAATACTTACAAGCTGGGACCATTTTCATCATGACCAGCAATAAGAAGAGATACGCCGAAAGGTCTAGACTGCATGAAAATGAGTAAAATCATGTGTAACAAAACAGTACAAAAATAAGGTATTAATAAATCATACCCCTCATAGAATATAAAGTAGTAGCACAAACAATAGCAGCAAAGGAAGCAAAGAACCTAAAATAGCAAATTAACTAACATTAACTTTTGCTTAATTGAATGATAAACTGTCCAATAGCAGCTCAGGGTCTGGAAGCAAATGCAGAAGTAGAAATATGAAAAAGGCTCATAAAACCTTGTTCAACACCTTGATAACTTCCCCCTTCCAACATACCAACTCCTGGGGCAACACATGTATTCCTATCGTTCAAGGAGGTTCTCAAAAACAAGATACTCAAAAGTACCAAAAAGAATTAGAAAAGGACGAGGAGTAGCATCTCTCTAATATCACAAATCAATTTACTACTTAAAACATATGTTAGCTTGAGGTCGAAAGCATGCTTTGATACACACCTCCCCAACTAGTTATGCAATTGTCCATCCTACAGTGTCTTCTACATGTGAGTGCATAGACTTGAAAAGAAAATTTATTCATGAAGTGAGTGAACGTTCTTTAGCTACCTCAGAGAACAAATACAATAAAATAAATAGCTTAAACAGAAAATGGATGTGCGCTAGGAACAAAAAGATATTGTGGATGATAAAACAACAACCAGGAATATGTTTCAACACAGAACTACTACCAACACTTCCAAGCAGATAGTAAATGCATATAAGGTTGGAGTCAAATTTGATGAGGCCTTCTTGTAGGTAAATGTGAACAAACAAAATTAGAAGTTAATACACAAAATGAAGATGCTAACCATAGATTCTTCATCCCCCTCACCAAATCGCAGGGCTAGATCACACAGAGCTTGAGTAGTTGATTCAATAGTCATTGGCTCACCATACGAGAACCTATGATTCTACCAGGAAAAAAAAATACAAGATTAAACACCCAGTAACTAGTCAATAAAAAACAAGAATAGAAATTTAGTCAAGATAGCTGAAGAAAAGTGAGTACCTGTGTTTCAACTCGAGCATGTTCAACAAGAGTTCGAGCATCAGCAATTAATCCACTCATTGCACAACCAATATGCTCATCTATCTCCATAATTTTCTCCACGCTGCTAGGCTCCTATAGGAGTACCAGACATGCGAAGAATTCAGTAGCATGAACTTCTGTTGCAGCAAGCTACTATCACAAAATTCAAAGACTCTTGAACAAATAGATGTATGGAAAAATCTGGTACACTCGTAAACCTTTCTTCTTGTTTATAAGTAAGCTGTTTTTTTTTTTCTTTTTATATTTTAGATAACATTGTGGCCCAAAAAATTTACAAAAAATAGTAAATGGATTATATTGGAAATTGAGGAGTACACGGTGCAGACCAGGAGTGGAGAGGTAATACGCTTCTCAACGGCTAGAACAACCCCTTCTTTAGTCTTCAACCCAATTGCAGTTGACCCCAGCTGTCAAATAGTAACAGCAACAGTAATCAAGATCCTGTAAATTTCTTAATTCCAAACCAAAAAGAATAAAATGTACGAACTAACACATATCCATATAATCAACCGAGCTAGAATCCTCTGTATGGAGGACTTAATCAATAAGAAAACAGCCTTACTTTGATAGCTTCAATGGCATATTCAACTTGAAACAATCGACCTTCCGGAGAAAATGTGTTGACTCCTCTGTCGTACTCAGTCCTTTTTTTTTGTTTTTTTGTTTTTGGGGTGGGGAAGAAAAGAGAAAACTCTCAGACAGATCGTAGGGACGATGAACAAAACAGTACAAACTTAATTAAGTTGAGATAACGAAATACGGCTAAAAAGAAAAACCCTAAATAAAACCTCCAAGGGAAAAAAAAAAAAAAAGAGAAAAAGAAAGAAGGATTAGCTAACCTGGTGAGGAACATTGTCGGATGCAATTAATTAGTAGCTTCGACTCAAAAAAGCAAAAAATTACAGCTGCAACTGAAGACCTGGGAGAATTTTATTAAATTAGGAGAAAAATATAAAATTGAGAGTACAACCTAAAAAAATGACAGCTTTAATCTTGATAAACTAGCAAAAGAATTGGCTGGAAAAACATCAGATCAAGAAATAGAATTAGATCTAACTTTAAGAAAAGAACGGAACACAGACCCTGGGACTTTGGGGTGGTTTTCTGAATGGTCCTCTCTCTCAACCTCACAAGCTACATAGAACTCTCTCTCTCTGTTTGCCCTTCTTGCCAAGCAAGGCAGCAGACCCGACCCGACCCCCACATGCGGATCTTGCTCCTTTTGGGTGTCGCATTTGTTGGGCCGTAATTTGCTTCCCTGTGAATACGATAATTTCTAAATACAAAAAGGCCCACCAAGTTGTTGACAGAGGATCTGCTGGAGGCCCAAGTAAATGATTCACCACCC